ATTGCGTTATGATACGGAACTGTTTGAGAGCCTTGTGGGGCGTCTCGACGTCCCCAGCCATTGCAGCTACACCCTGAGCTGACTTCATATATGCTGTGTACCTGTAGTTGTTATAGTGAATAAATAAACAAATAAATAAATAGTCGTCATCGGTCGGGCGGGGCCAGGAGAGCTGGGATGAGCCCGCCTCCAGCCGCCTTTTCTATCAATTTTGGACGGTTAAGTGACCGATTCAGTGAGAAAACAACCAGAGGTGGTAACGATGCGGGTGGGCTCATTCAAACTTTTTTGGGACCGCCCCATCTGGTTGCGACGATATCAACTGTAAGTCCTTTTCTGAAATTTTTTTCTTCATTCCTTTGCAGCTCAGTTTTGTGTGTTGGAGCAAGACACTGGACCATGTAGTGGTAATCATACGAGATACGGTTACGATCGAACGGCTGGTGTATGCAGAAAATTTTCGTAGGGTTTCTTGATTTTCTTAATTTTGTTTATACAGCAGTTTCCCCAGGAGCACCGGTCAAGTGGAAGCGTTTCTTCCGAAAAAAAGCTTGAACTTCGAAGGCTATAAGACCAAAAATGGGACATTGGCTAGCGACCTATTGATAGCAGGGAATGTCCTGCCGCTGGGCTAGAATTCTGCGAAATACGACCCTCCCTCACAATTTCCTGAAACGATCCCCCTTTCCCTTCCCATCCTACCTTCCATCTTCGCGAGCGCTCCCAACTTCCTATCCCTTTTTCGGGATTTTTTTTATTCAGAAATTCTCAATATATGGTGGTCTGCGTGGACAGGAAAAACGAGAAAAGTCAACAACTGAAAACGGAAAATACTTCACCGAAGATGAATTCAACCTACTTTTCCCAGCAGCTGAATACGACCACCTTCGCTGAGGATCCTCATGTACCACGTGCCCTGCCTGCCTGCGTACTTCATTTGAGCATGGCACAGGATGGGTTGTTCATGAGATATTTGTACGACATGCGATATTGCGATACAACTGTCATCTTGTCTTTTGTTGGACAAAAACCGACAGCAGTCTTGTTCGCTGCGGATGCTGGGGCGTTTCAGGGGGGGGGGGGGAGGTTGCGCGGACGCGAGCCTGTTCTCTAGCAATTGTCAATTGCGCATGCTCAGGCAACCGCAGTTGCTGGAA